TGTCATGACTATATAACCCATACATTTGCATAACCCATTAACTCGTGATTCTTACTCTATTTTCAGCTCATGTACTACAGTTATTAGACGATTAAAGCGTACATTACGTCTTCCTATTCTGTCTCCTTTCTAATCCCGTCCTGGAACTACTCGACTCTCGCAACAATTCCAATTCCTTCCTTCCAGGTTTCATTTTTAACTGTTCCCTCATCGCTGTTTTTTTCACATGCAGAACACTGTTAACGATTGCTTGATGCCAATTGTTTTTTAATCCTACCATACCTCTCGTGCTCATAAGATGCCTCCTTGAAAAAATCGCAAATTCCTTTATCCTTCCCATGTCTTTTGCTTACTTGTTACTTGCGTACTGAATTCATCCCAAAACTATGTTGTTCTCTCTGCACATTTCAACGGAAGCATGTGCTATTTCTATTCATGCTACCTGGGTTGAGCTAAAGCTGTAGAATAAGACTTCTAGAGACTATATGAGTTCACTTAATCCTTCCATGATGGCACTTGTTATTTCTGCCTGTTTCAACTGTATCCACAACTTTACATAATCAGGAAGGTGGTGTAGCAAAGTGAGCCACTTTTCTGTTGTGCTATCGTTAGGTGGTACTCTCCGCAAAATGCACGCTATCATCACGTGTCTTTAAATTTCATGTTTTATTTTCTCACCGTGACTATCAATGGAGTAATACAGAAATTATGGACCATGTTGCTGTTTTACTCGATAGTGGGTAAAGTACTGGAATGTCCTCCCATGGTTCACTGATATTCGGGCTGAACAGGAAGCTTTCCATATGGGAGAGGTTCACCACTTCCTTGATCGGGATACAGATTACCTGGATACGGTTGCTGTGAACCATCTGGATAGTATCCTTCACCGCTTGGTTGAAATGGCATGCCGCTTGTGCGTAGATCAGGATAGGGTAGAGAACCCGGGGCCAGTGGACATCCAGGGGCTATCGGAACACCGAAAGCCGTTTCCGGGTATTTATAGCCACCGTCAGGTTGGAGTTTCCATGATCCCATCTTAGCGTCAGGTTTTATTGTTCTAGGTTCATGTCCCCCGCATTGCGGTGGAAGGCCAGCTGTGTAACCATTGCGTGATTGTGCAGCAGTCTGGAGCGAAATGTTCGTGCAGCGTTAAACATAGTATAATACCGACCGACCATAACTATAGGTGACTACATATATTTGCAGCTGTTCACCACTCCGTCTTTAGAATCTTTCAGCAAAATCTAATTTTTATTAGCGTTTCTGGGTTAGCTTCTTTTCAGGAGCTCTCCAGGACTTAAGTGCCCACTAACCCATTTATGGGGTCGATTCGGGGAGATATAAAAAGATGGTATATATTGGTAGTAGTTGTTCAACCAGAAAACAGTTCACCAGAAATCTCCAACTGTCGGGACTAAATGACGGCACCCGACATCGAGTATCCAAAACTTTCGCCACTTGGAGCTCAAATGCCTAAGATGCGAGGTTTCCCGAAAACAAAAATTTCGTGCGTCCTCCAGACTCATACTGAACAAACACAAGTCCCCCTATTTAGGTGTCTGCTTGCTGATTTCTTCTGTTTCGTCTGAATAACTTTGATATCTCACTGTTCAGTGTGGTAGTCCCCACCGCGTTTATTAGGGCCCTACGCAAGGCGACCAGAACAACAAGATTATTGTCGAACCTAAATATGCAAAATATATTGCAGCTAGCTTTTATGAGAAAAACTTACAGGAAATAGGTTTACATGTAGAGTTAAAAATGATTCCTTCAGTCAGGGAAGATTTTGCACCAACTATCCGAGGGTGATCTCTTCCCAAGGAAGGCCACAGTCTGTAATTTCATCTCGATAAACGACGAGGTACAAGTAGAAGGTACCACGATGGTTAGTTTCGCTAAATGAGCAACGGATATTCCCTCAAGAAACGTATGATGTGTTGGCTTCGAATCTATGAAGTCTGAGCAGATATTTGTAAACTAATGCGTTGACTACACTGATTATCCTGTCCACTGAATATGGACTGTTGTGAAATCACTGCAGATTTAATCAGCTTTCCTTTATCATCCTTTATTCGGACAAATAAAGCGATGAATAAAGCTCAGTTTCTGTGGTTGTCGTTAGTCCAAAGTATCACGGATTTATGTGAATGTCTACTCAGAAAACTTGCATTCTATGGTGCATACAGAACTACGCGGATAAGAATGTTAAATAAATTTACTCGTTAACCAACGAAACTGAGAGTTGGTGATTGAACTCAGTGAAATGTCTGAGTCAAAACTCAATGACATTGCTTTAGGGGCAAAACAATATCGAAGTAAGGAGAGGTCACTCACATCTCCGTACATTATCCCGTTGGATGTGGAGGTCCGATTATTCTTCCGAAATAGTTAAAATATCGTTGAATCTAATTCGGGTGTTCTAAGGAAAAATGTGAAAGTTGATGTTCTTACAAATACATGGAAAAGCCTCATATTTACTAAAATACATCGTTCATTCAGGGAATACGAAGGCACCGGTTGTAAACACTTTCTCTCAGGTAACCTAATCCGTTGTTAAAGATTCTCCTAGTAAGCCAAATCATTTCAACGGAAACAAAGTCTCCATCCTGGAAGAAAATACAAGTACTATAAAACGCGGTTACATACAACTTGGACAGTTGCAACATTTACGTGGTAGGAGTCTAAACGGATACAACGTGTTAATGTCCTAAATTTCTTCGTGAGGTTCCTACAGGAAGATTATGGAAATGCTAAAATCGTCCATCCACATGTGTACATTCCACATGTGTACCTGGAATTAGGCAAAAAATCTGCTTGGACTGTGCTATTCAACACCTAGAAAATTTCATATTGTGCACGAATGCTTACGTAAAACTGACTTGTTTGCTAAGAGAAACACAGCTGACTTCTCTTTAATCTTTGTAGAGTTGACTGTCCCTGCATTTGTCACATCTCAGCACACAACCAACCAGGTGAAACAAGTATACTGGGGCTATACGAAGCTATAAACAGCACTGAATATCACGTTCGTTTCCGCAGTAAACTCCTCTTAGTGCTGAGAATGAAAGAAGCCAAACATATAGGTGTGATGCATACTTGAGAAAGCCTGCAAGGAAAATCACGAATTTTCGGCGAGTTAATTCGTTTGGGAAGTGTTGGAAATTTCAAGGTGGCTTGAATATTAATTCCAAATAGAATTCGTTTTTTCACAGATTTCGCGTTCTGTCTTTAGATTAGTTGATTCCCGTCAGTGCACTAAAAGAAATTGTAGTTTAGTGAATGTAAGATGGTCAGTAAGTAGATCATCCGGATTGATATGAGGTCACAGAGATTTGGTAATGCCATTGGTGCCATTAATTCACTACTGGAAACGAGTTGTGTCACGGGAAACGACATTGCCTACATATTGGGGCCAAACTATGGTGCGGTTCCTTCCATTAAATGATTATAACTGCTTATATGAACTTGCCAAACGCGATGATAGGTCAAACGACTCCTCATGTGCTGTCCAATCTCATTGTTGATTACCTTTTTCAAACTATGTGAACTCTTGCTGCTGAAATATGCAAGCTTGTCCTTCCAACCCGAAACAAGTTCGTTTACTCCATGACAGCGGTAGGCGGACATCGCTCTCGAGCTAAGAATTTTTTTTCAGTGAACTACACTCATTTGCATGCCAACTTGGTTTTCACTGGTGACTAATCTGAATCCCAGTTAGACTGCTCGTTTATGATAGACTTCAGTTGAATAAGCTGCACAACGCTGTCTCAAGCATCACTTGGGACGATATTCAACAAATCGCTGTTTAGACGTAGCACACAACTCACAAAGTTGTCGAAAACCTTTCGACCGGACGACGACCGATTTGGCCATTCTTGGGTCTTATCAGGTAGGTGCAGCTCCAGAGGGTTCATCAACCTTATGTTTTACTTGAAAGCGAATTGCAGAAAATTTGCGAACTACAATCATTGGCACACCAATCTGCTTTGCAGCAATCTTATTGGTGGTTGTCCCTTAGGAAAATATACTGTCATATCTCGAATGTCGTACCGAATCATACATCAGTTGCCCTTCGCGCGGCACATTAATTCGGAGAATATCATAACCGAGAGGTGCGGCATTGATTAAGTTGGGTTTCTCATGAAAAATAAATCCTTATGAAAATGAGTGTGGTAAAAAAAAGAAAAGTTCATAACCCCGAGTCATGTCCGCCTTGATCACATGAACTGATTTCTGGGCAAAACAGGCCTAGGCATTTCAGCAGCAACAGTTCACATAGTCTGAATCACGAAACCAAATGACGATGAAGTGAAACTTCTGGCGTTCATATTCTGTTGGAAAACTCTTAAAGACTTGAATTTCGTTCGTTATTTGGCTTCTCCTCACGGTTGGATATGGTCCTGCCACCATGTAGTGCAGCAGGCAAAAGTATACTCCGCCGAAAATGTACTTTTCCCATATCTTTCGATCTATAAATCTGACAGAATCATGCACGTCAGAGGAATTAGCACCGACAAACTGTATATGACACCCAGGCGTTTTAACTATAAGTCGAATAACAAGAAGCCCTCCGAATTATTATTCGAAGACACACCCCAACTGTGTAACCCATCTCAAAGCATGTATGAGAAGCAGATATGAGAAATATACCTCTCGCCATTTCCCGTACAGAAGACGTCAGAATAAGTAAAGCATAGTTCAAGCCACCTGTTTTACTCCAGATTTTCGGGCAGCCCTGTTCGAAAGTCCCGTTAGCTCTCACATCACAAGTACCCTTTCAGAGTCGACAATCAACCAAAGTTGGCATACTGTGGAGCATCAATCACACCTATTTACAAAAATTGCGTCTGCTCCACTCTCTTCACAATCGTCTATGGGTTTCACTGCTTCTTTTTCTTATTTGTGTGACCTTAGAAGGACGCATTTCTCTTGTTCGTCGTCTCGTAAACGCTACTCAACGGAAGCCATCCTTATGCAGTACTTACATCTGCACTGTTTACACAGACCCTCGATGTGAAGTTCGTTGAGAAAGTGCTCCACGCCTTTTAAACTTCACAAAGCCCAAAGTAGGCCAGATTCTTACAAAAATTTGGCCACTTTATTCAAAACCAAACAATAAGATCTGTTATCAGATTACTACTAACGCTCTCGATCATTTATATTCGTATATTTGTACATTTTCACCTGGATAGTCTGTAAAGAGGGTATTGGAGTGTGATAAAATCTGTCTTTTGTTTATTTTTTGACAGTCTCTCAACATAAGAACTCGAATGCAGTAGCATTAAGCAAGTACTCGCAACGGGGTACCCACTTGCTATAGAAGAGGAAGGCTTGAAATATATGAATGAGGTAGAAGATGAAACACTTTTACACTATTATGCCTCCGATACTTGGCAAAAAAGTAATCAGTACAAAATTCACCGAATAGGTGACTTACAAACAACTGTCCACAAATTCCTGTCAGCTGACATTCACTCAGACATTGCTAGGACAACTGTGGAGCTGCATTTCCGCACGAGATGAAGCACCAATCGAATGCCGTGAACACATAGAAGAACTGAAAAACTAGAAGTCCATTGGACTTTGTGCTCACATGTGGGAGTGGAGTATTCCGGTAAGAAACCTGAGCTCATTGTAATAAAATGATATTTCCTGAACTACTTCGTTAAATACAGAAGTCTTTGTGTGTGACATAAATTCACATTCCGAAACCTATCACAGATCTGTGTAGCAATCTGTGATAGAAAACACAATTTTTCAGACGGAAATAGTTTAGAACAAAACTAACACCCACAGGTGTCCACGTAGCTAAATAAAGTTAAAGTGGTTTCTTCTGGGTTGTTGAATTGGAAGATTTGATGTCCACACTACAACCACAGGATGAATAAAAGAAGAAAACCCTGGAGAATCGGAATATGAAAGTGTTTTTTGCATGTAGGGAATCAGTATTAGTAAATTCACTCATCCATACCTTCCTGCTTTTTGACACAGATACTGAAGAAAAATAAATCCGGTTCAAGCCTTTTGTCACTGATCAAAAGGGAATGGCTCTTGTGACGGTTTACCTCATACGAAAAAGCATCGCCCTTGAAAATACGTTGTCAGAAGGTATGAACATATGCATA